CTTTTTGAGTATTGATCAAGGGTAATGCTTATTTTTGTGATGGTGGCACAGACTGCCGCCAGTTTCCATGAATTAGCCAGGTTTTACCAAAGTTCCTACAGTTTTCCAGCAAGGCCCCAATTCCCCGACTTTCCCAGGTTGGTAGACACCCTGCACAAACAAAGATAGATGGCAGTTACCTCGCGTCCTGTTCCCTGTCTTACGCAAGTGTCATTCTGCACTTTATTACCTTAGAAGTACTTGCTGCTACGCAGGTTGGTATAACATTATTAGGGAAAATTCTAGACGATGCGAATGTGTGGTGCAGTGTAAATATTTTCTGTAGTTCAGCTGCGACCGATGCTCTTTTTCTGTGCTTTTTCATTTTTCCAGTGGTGCTTAGGCATCTATAATTTTCCCCCTTAGCTTAATTACCTCCCTGAAGCTATGCATCATCTTGCCCATTAACAACCATTGTTAAACTATTGTATGTGGCATTGTTGATGCAAAATGACCTTAGAGTATATGCTAAAGCTCCTGCAGGATCACCGGCTGAATGTGACAACCAGTTCACCATTTATAGGACCCGAAGTATTGACATTTTCAATATATCTGTTCGCACAGTGCTTCATTGGAGTCATGCAAGCTTAAAATATGGTGCTCCCACAGAGAAATTTTTCTTCCTGTGCTGTGACCAACGGAAAAACTATGTAGACAATAATGAAAAGAGATCACAACTAGGCTTAGCTGTGTGATGTCTGCCTCAATAAAAATGTAATAAATTAATGCAAGTGTGCTTATATCACCATGGTGTTGCCAGTTTATTACTACATTTGATATGAATCTCTGCTCGCTCCACCATGGTGTTCCTAAGGGTGTACACAGTCTTACCTCTGAGACAGCATTGCCAGAACTAATTTCACTGTCACAATCTTGAACAGGTGTGCAACAAGCATGCGCCAGTGCAGAGAACACAAGAGAAGTGGTCACTGCTTGCATGTTCAAGGTCGTATGCACGCACACCGGACTATGATTTTGCAGTGTCTTACATTTTGAGTGGAGTATACATCGTGATGGCGGGAGCCATCTCTGTGGTCACCAGCTAGACTGTCACAATGTGCATATTGTTGCTTCAGACAACTGTTTAGGACAAAAAAAGGGCACCGTAGAAAAAAATATTTTTAGGCTAATGTAAGAGCTTGTGGTGAGGAGACTCTCAAAAGGTATATGGTGTGTCATCTTGCAATAGAGAAGCAACATTTATACCTAGTTTATGTTAGTAGGAGTCTGCTAAACATTGGCCATACAAGCTTGTGGCTAGAGAAGGATGATGTCCAGAAGATGCCCTCCTGAAATGTTAACCTGCACCGTCCTCCCTTGCCCTTCTTGGTGCACTGGAATTTTTGCCCTATAGGTACTAATTCCTTCAGTGGGTACTCTTGAAGGGCTTCTGAATAAGCTCACTCTTACCACCTGCTTTACCCAAGGGCAAATCCTACTGTTGGAACTTGTTTGCTTGGCAGAAATTTTTAACAGGAAAAGAAGCTTCACTCGTTACACAAATAAAGCTACAGCATTGCAAGATTACTATGATGTTATGTACACAGACCTCCCACATACAACTCACTAAAATGTCACCAATTACCTCTATGGTGAGCCTGATTATGCCTTAAGACAGCATGTAAGTTTCTTGATCCTATACTTTTTAATCAGTACATGAACCTTGAAAAAACAAGATCGTCACGTGCAGTGCATAAAACCAGTGCTTATGAAGTGCAATGATGCCATCGGAAGCATCAGCAAAAGTAAATTCACCCTGCTGGAAAGCAAATTGTGCGTGAAGCCTGTAAATGTACTGTTAACAAAGTCTTCTCGACAACTTCATTACTTCTACTTCTGCAATTTTCATAATCCTGTCTCTTCATACCTTGCTGTCAACCCAAAAATTATTGACCTATGAGGTGTTACTCATATGACCATGCTCATTTAACATACCTGCAAGCCTCAGAGCTAACATAATAAAATTGAAGACTTTAATAAATTAATGCTCTCTGCTACTCACCCCTTCAAAAAAAATTTTTAGCATCCCCTTCAAACCTGTTTTTTTAAAGACTCAACAGGCACAGTGACGTGACTCATGAAAGGCATATCCGGAGCTTGTGGTGCAACTAAAATCTTTTTGGAGCAGCATAAAAGCTGCCTGAAGCTTTTAAGCTAGAGCTGTTGCACCACATGTTACAGGGAACTAGTTCATGAACATATGCATGCATGTTCACTTGGACTTCTGCTCAACATAAACGTAGGCTTTTTGCTTTTTTGCAGACATCCCCAATTTATATAAAGCTACCTAGCGCTTTCCGGGAATTCACATGGCATTTGTAAATGACTCTGGCTTTCAACGATAGTTTAGCTACAATATTGAATCACGGACTGGTAAGACTATTTATGCATTGTATTTACTTTCCAAAAAAAAAAGAGTCTGATTATATTAATGCTTTTATTAGTACAACCTAATCGTTCAATCTGTGGAGAAGTGGTTGCTGTCATCGTTTATGTACAGAATTGTTAGGTCCCTGATTAATGAGCACTTCATAAAAAAAGGGTTTTGTAACTGGTCCTTACTGCCAATTATTTATTATGGCTCGACAAAATTTAGAGTTATGGGGGAGTAAGTTGTTACACTTGGCAAACTGTTTGACATGTACAGTCGTCGAGAAGCCCAGCCGAGACATACCGGAATAGTGGAACACCATGCTTTCTAGGAGAAGTAAAAGTGATTGTACAGCATGCGGTACTGCTGATAAAATTTGCCCACTGTATGGACTTAAAACTTAACCACCTTGTATGAAATATTTTGAAAGTAAACTGTAACAAATAGGACCACAAATAAAAAAAATAACTAAGTGGTCAGTTCTATATGCAGGTACTAAATTACTGTATTTTAATACAGTAAAGCAAGACTGTTGTCCAAGCACAACTAGCTCATTATTACTTTTATCTGACAGTAACCACAACAGTTAGAAACTATTTGGCTGAAGTCACGTGGTAACTTTTGTAGTATAAGCGGGTTCAGATTGTTAAGAAAGTTGGTGCCCAGCAACGTTTTCAACTACATTGCACGTTCATGTCCACTGTGATAACATCTTCAAATCGCAGGGGTAACGTATGGATTTCAAGCGTATGCCATATACTTGCTCCCTGAGAGAACACAACAACGAAGAGTGCACGCATGCTTGACACAAATAATGAAATTTATGAAAAAGATGTAGCAGGTTTCGTCTCTTGGTGCAGATCCCTGCAGGCACTTACCTAATTCCCACCCCATTTTGCCAACAAGCAGCCCATGTAAAACGTTCGAACATGCGCTATTATGTCGGGTCATAACCAGTTTCCTCTAACCACCTTGCACTTAGTTCTGGCACGACATACGTTTCAAAGATCTATTTCTTGCAAACTGTGTGAGTAATTGTAGACCATTCTTCAACAGTTATTTTTGTGCTTACTCGATAGGAAAACATGAGCTACAAATTTTCTAAGTTTCTAAAATATGAATGGTAATTGAATTGTGAATGGTAATCTACACCCAGCCTTAGCATATATTTCCTTTATAATCATTTTCAATTTGAGGCATGGCACAAATTTTGAAGTACGACTGAAGCCTCTCATATGCATGTTTCGTTTATTTGAAGGTGCCATTTAACAATCTTGAATTAATCCTGCAATGAACTAACATCTGAATGCCTTGCGAATTGCCTGCCACAAAATATATTTTACTAGGTAAATTGTTCTGTGCTTGTTACACAAGCTGAAGATGATGACGATACTGACTGCCGCATTGTCACTGATGAGGCAGAGGATAGCGCGTGTACAATTTAGGTGCACACACGAGGCCCAATGTCAGTGCTACATTTCCAATTTAAACACGAGCGCGCGCAATATGTATGCTTTACCGCAATACACAGCGTGCACTTCACCGCAAGGCACGACTGCCTTGCGGCACTGTTTAATTTTAAGAAGACGCTTAAGGTGACAATTTTGAGCGAATATTTATAGTGCTCCCAGCATATCTTCAACTTTATTTCTTTTTTTTTCTTTGTATACACCCACAAGAAAAGACATAGCTTAGAAAACCGATTATCGTAATCGGCGACAACATATTTAAGCCACTTGGAAAATAACGTCGTGTGAACGCCTGGTAATATTCCATCGCTTCCAACTTGTGCATTTCGTATCTGTCTCACGCAGTTACGCAAGAAGAAGCTTCAATGAAAGTTTTGGCGCAAGCATACACTTCACCGAAGCGACACATCGATCCTTACGCTAAACACGCACTTACAGACATACACGTACGGCATACATCCACAAATAGCATAACACACGGTGTTCATGATCGGGCAAGTCGTTACCACACTGCTTATAGACAGTATTACAGAACGAGACCACGTATCCATGTGCAGAGGCGGTTTTCGCGAATTCATAAGGCTACCGGCCGTGGGCCAAGCAAAGACCACGGATAAATAACCACCGCACGGTAAAGATCCTCACAAATTAGTGGGGAATCTTAGACCTTTCGTTCCCACCACCTAAACGTCCCCCAAAAAATGTCCAACACGGCGATTCTGTCGCCGTCTAATCATACGTTTTCAGCCAAGTCAAGCAGGTTTTAGGCGGCTATTGGGTGAACCGAACGCTTTTGCCTCGAAGAGGTTCGTGCCACCCGGTGGCAGCAGACGCGGCCTTTTCAAAACACTGAGGTTTAGGAACAGGGAGGGAAAATAGACTTTAAGCGGATAGACTTAACTAGAAGGAGGTTATTTGATTGGTGGCTAAAGTGAAGGCACGAGTGAAAATTAACTTTTCACTGCAAAGTACGAATCCTCAACCTCACTATTCAAAGTAAAAAAAAAGAGATAAATTTAATGATTAGTTCACTAAGTATTACGGCTAGATGGCGTTAGCCGCCACCCAATCTAAAGAGTACGGCCACATCCATCCATTCATCCATTCTTGTTTCATCTAGAGACCTTGCGGCTAGTGTGCTCTGGCTGAATCTGGCAGTTGAATTTGTGCTTGCGTGCATAGACGCGTGTTTCGTGGCAGTGAAGAACGCTCTGAGAATATTTGTGGAGGCGTGATATTTGCAAAAATATTTGTTTTACGTGGCCCCTCAAAACGAACCTCAAGACGATGTCCGTTCACAGTGCGATATCAACCGCTGAAGAGCTTCAGGATGCGATTACCCAAGCGAAGTAAGTTGTCTCACAACGATCTGGTGAAAAATGTGGCAGCTTGGGCTGGTTGGTATGGCATGACGATAGTTATAGCGCGAGAACAAAACGACGTGTCCTTTTTGTCTCTGTGTCGTCGTTTTGTTCTCGCGCTATAACTATCGTCATGATCTGGCGAGGTTTTGTTTGGCTTTAACGTCCAAAGGGAGCTGCTTGGTGCGAATGCAAAAGGAAGAGGTGCGCGCACGGCAAATGGAGACTGCGTTGAGGGTTACGAGGACTGAATAATGAAGAGAAACACACGACAAAGAGCCCGAATAACTAGAAATATAACTTAGAAGTGTGGCAGCTTGGGCTAGTTGGTATGGCATGACGATAGTTATAGCGCGAGAACAAAACGACCACCTTTCCTTCCTCCGTGAAAACGACGATACAGAGACAAGAAGGTCGACCCGCAGGGAGCGGGTTCGAATCCCGGCTGCGGCGGCTGCATTTCCGATGGAGGCGGAAATGTTGTAGGCCCGTGTGCTCAGATTTGGGTGCACGTTAAAGAACCCCAGGTGGTCTACATTTCCGGAGCCCTCCACTACGGCGTCTCTCATAATCATATAGTGGTTTTGGACGTTAGACCCCACATATCAATCAATCAATCAGAGACAAGAAGGTCGTTGCCAGACTTGGTGGGTCAGTGTTTCCAGGCTGCGGCCAAATTTCACAGAGAAATTGGCCCCTGTAGTTGTGCCTTTTCCGTGAGGGCTCTGTGTCGTCCGTGGTGCATTTTGCGAATGCGTGTGCGACGTTGGACGGAATGAACGGCGCGTTGCTGAATTGTGCCTTCTCCATGAGGGCTCTGTGTCGCCCGCGGGGCATTTTGCGAGTGCGTGTGTGACGTTTTCAGTAACGCGCCGTTCATTCCGTCCAACGTCGCACAGGCACTCGTTTCGCCCGGGGTTCATTTTGCGTAACGATATTTATAGCGCGAGAAAACGAAGACACAGAGACAAGAAGAGCACGAAAGACACGAGCGCGAACTTCCAACTGAGTTTATTGCGCAGAGCACGAAAAAATATAGAGGAGACAGTAACCATGTGATAAAAACCATATGGCACAAAGAGCAGAACGTGAGTAAGAGAAACAAAGACAAAAAACAAAAGCTCAGAAAATTGGCAAAGAAAAATTTATAAAAAAACGAAACGGAAAAGTAAAGATAATATAACTATTTGCGCGCATCGAAACCTTCGAGGAACCTGAGTTTCTTCTCGGACAGAGCCATAGAGGGCTTGCTAATACAAGGCACCTGTTCGAGTGTCATCTGCGCGGCCTCGACAATGACTCGAGTGCGCTCATCTTTGTGCTTGTACAGCGTCGCTGTGTCCTTGAAGAGGGAAACACAATTGCACTCAGTGCAGTGCTGAGCAAGAAAGCCATCTTTCCCGTTTCTAACATTGTTAGCGTGTTCTCTCAGCCGATCGTTTAAACAAACCTTCTGGTCGTTCCGACATAACAAGCACCGCATGAAAAGGGGCTCCTATAGACAACTTCCTGGGAGCAGGCCGCATACCTATTTCCATGTTGAACTCTGCATTCCGTTGATGACTTCATTTTCAGGGGGTTTGTTGATTTGGTGAGGCTGATTAATTTGAACGGTGCTGAGAACAGGACACGAACTCCTACACGTTTTCCGATTTTCTTGAGCCTGTGTGATATCTGGTGTTTGTATGGAATCACGGTAATCCTTTCACATTTTGTATCCGTGTTGCTCGAATTCTGTCGCTGCCTTTGCTCTGCCCTATTAGTCCGCAGAATAGTCTCAGCAACGGAAGCGATAAACGCCTCGGGGAAACCCGAAGCCTTAAGCCGGGAAACTTGAGTTTTGAAGCTCGCAGAGATATTGTGGGCACACGACCTATTTAAGGCATTCTCAAGACAGGTTCGTGCTATTCCTCACTTAACTTTCTGTGAGCGGAAGAAAAAGGAAGTAGAGGTTTCTGCACACGTGGCTCATAACACCAACAGATGTGCTGTGAGCTAAAAACCAGTCTTTAATCTAAAAAGCCTAACTTTTCGTTCTCGGGCATTTCATGTGTCAATACAAGAGGCTTTAAACAACCTTCGAACACACCTATCTTTTCAGTCGCAACCGAGTGGAACATAGAAGAATTACAATTTAGAAGAACCAAGAAATCATCCACGTATCTAAATACTTTGACGACATGCGAGCTTTCTAACTTTTCCTGCACTTTTGTGCCCATTTTTGCCAATAGAAGATCACTGAGCAGAGGTGCTATGCATGAGCCAATTGAAACACCCTTTTTCTGCAGATAAATGCAATGAGAATCAATGTTGTGCTGAGGGAAGGTAGCTGTGTTGCATTTTTTTTTAGTGAGATGTTATAAAGTAATGCTAAATATGTGTTAAAGAGTTGTACACATAGATTTAATTTGAGCAGTGGCATATGGTATACATAAATAGTTGTTTACAGCTGTGTAAGGATACCAAAAGCAACATAGTAGTTGTAAGCTGATATGTCACGCTTGTGCTTGCGAGCATGGTAACCCCAAACACTGCAGCATAAATCAACTTCAGCAAATAGCGCCCAAGTACAATTGACATTAACCTACGTGACATCTGTATCATAGGAGTTCGTACATATGTAATGTTTATAACATTGGACATAGCCAGCACTGCAACCACCCTGGACGTTTCATGAACATTAGGGTTTATTTGAGAGGTGGTTGCTAGGCCTGGCGTGCCGCTGTGGTAGAATACTTGATTGCCAAGCAGAATGCAGGAATTCGATTCCTGCTGGGACCCTGACATTTATTTTTTGCATTTAGCTGATTAAAGCTGCCAATGTCAGCTATTAGTGCTCTCGCGTTTAGATTACTTATGCCTATTCTCACTGTTCCTAGGTAGATATAAACTGGCAATCGCCTGTGGCATATACCCACATATCTGATCATCTTGAAGTTCTTGCGCGAATACGCGGGGACAAAGATGAGAAGCATTAACGGGTTCAAAAACTTCAACACAAATATATTCCAGTGGCCGAGTCGCAATTTCGCCGCAAACCTGTGGCACTTACCGACCTATCGTACATGGGTATGTGCCACACTTGTCTGGCGGGAGAGGTTTGACGGCATGCTCGACGGGATTCTTATTTTGTGAATAACTAGTCATAATTGTCACATCATCTTACCCTCCCATATTAATTTTGGTTTACCCTAAGGTAATTGGGTCATCATGCGAGCACCCATATATGAGAGACAGATAGATAGATAGCTAATAGTTCCTGCAGAACGAAAAGAAATGCTTAGCAAATTAAAGCCATGTGTCCGTCACACACACTTCGACGAGCCAAGTGACAGGTATTAGAAATTTTAATAAATCTACGGTATGCGGTGCACGCAGTCCCAATAATGCAGCAACTGTACAGATTGTGAAACTATGCGATTCAAGCAATTTGGACCTCTGCAGACACCAAGCAGAGATTAGCTAGGCATGTACATCTTGTATACATTGAAATTTTATAAGAGACGGGGATCATGTCACTACTTTCGATGCGTTTTACTTTTCTGCTGATATTCATAAACAGCAGAAGCAAGGGGAAGAATGAAAAAAATTCTCAGTACAGGGTGTCACTGCAGCCTTCAGGAATTTATGCAATAAAATGTGGCGATACAGCCGTGGCAGTACACCTCCATGTTACAAAGGGTACAGTAGCAAATTTTCATCATAATTACCTACTTTAGAGGTTTCACTCACTTTCGCTGTGGGAACGTTTTTTAGCGCCATGCGCTTGCGTTTTGGCAAATTAGTACACTTATGAATAACTGACAAAATATGCCAAAGATGAAGGAGGCCATAAAAATACCCCAAAAACATGCTCTATATGATGGGAATTCAAGTTAGTATTATTGGCTAAGTACCAGATGCTACATGTATGAAGCTGACTCGTAACACAATAAGTCGGGAACACTGAGATTGATTGGCGCATCTGGGATAAGTTGCTCCACATCATGCACTTCACGAAAAACATCTGAAATATTAATGACTCGCTAGTCGTGTTTAGCAGTCTACGGAGTCAGGCAGCTGGAAACAGGAGCGGCAGGCGTGAGAGCACAGCTGCAAACTCGAAATGTTTCCCCGAAATATCCGTACAACTTTTTTCACCCACACTGACATGTTCAAATACAGTTTTTTCTCATCAACTATAGAAGCCTGGAATATGCTGCCCAAAGGGTTCATTCGCTATCACTTCAAGAATTTTTAGAAGCCTGTTCGTTAATGTTGCCTTGTTCCTGTTGTTTTTGTTTTTTTCCACTTCTGCAATAGCCTAAGTGAGGCTGCAGTACGTAAAAATAAAATAAATATACAGCATTTCAAATAGTATGTGTCGCATCACTACGTTATATCCACAAAACAATGTAAAACAGCATACTCAGGTCATTACACTGATACGTATGAGATCCAGGCCTAATTTGGGCCTGGCTCAGGCCCAAGCCCGGGTCCATATAGTGCTCTAGGCTGCCGATTCTCTTGTGACAGTCCTCACATCTTTGTTCAACTGACCACCATGAAATATCTTGCCTCTACTTTACATGCAACACTTATTTCTCTTTTTTAGGGACAAGTTGCTCGCCCTGTATTTCCATGCGAGCTGGTCGCCTCAGTGTAAGCAGGTGGAGGATTTATTGCCCGATCTTGCGAAAGATCCAGATCTGGCGCTGACGAGTTTCTGCAAGGTAAAGGTTGCTGGAAATACTTTTATAAAAAAATATGTGCCTATAGGTGCATTATATCAGCAGTGAATATGCTGAGAAGGCTAATTTGTCGTCATACGTTATGCCTGATTATGTATTTCTAATCTGAATACTTTTTTTTTTCGGCCTTGCTTATCCTGATTATGTACATTTTCAGAAGCATACATTGATTTTTGCGCAGGTCGAAGCTGAGCAAGCCAAGGATGTAAGCCTGAAGTATAAGGTCACCTCAGTGCCGACATTCGTCATCCTTCTGGTAGGTTGAAATTGTTGAAACTTGAAGTAAATGCTGTCAAACTTTTAAGGAGGGCTATAATTATTGTGATTCTTCTCCTTAACCTTAGGAATGCGGATTTGGGCATTGAACGAACAATGAAGGTATAATCTAAGGATGGTGATGTAAGTTAAAAATTGGTTTTTATTGCTTAAAGGACCCCTCACAAGAAATAGCAAGCTTTAGCATAGGAAGTCATGTCCCCAATAGAGAGCATTCTACCCTAGGAATTCTGCAAATCACTTCATAACCACTGTTGCGACCGGGGTTTGCGGCACCGGAGATCCTGATCAAGATGTCGAAGCAGGAGGAGGTTGAACTTCGTTGAGAAAGCTTATTTAGATTATTTACATGGCACAGGCTCTCTGGCCCAAAGCTCTACATTGAAGGCTCTAGATTGAAAAAAAAGGCTGTCTATTGAACGAGCTCTGGGAACCACACTAAGCGGCCCGCGAGGGCTGATTAAATACAGTTTCCTCTCCCCAGATCTCTAGATCGGGGAACAGGTCTAAACGGCACTGTCCAATAACATGTCTCGCAGCACATGAGTGTCATTATGCCGGCACCGCCCCCAACAAACACACATACACAAACCAAACACGTGTATGGTCCTGGCGATGCTGCCTCTTTCGGCGAATCTTGCTTGAGCGGGGTGAAACGAATCTGTCATCTCGCCGCTTGGGCCGACCACCCGAGCTTTGTCAAACGGCAGTCAGGGTCTAGGCGCCTCCGAGGGGCCATGCCTGGACATCTGGAGCTGATTTGAGCGTCGCTGGCTCATCAGTCAAAGACGCACAGCGTGATGGTCCGACGTCTGTAATCGGCGGAAGCTCGGCATTGGGGCTTTTACCGGGGCACGAAGATACCACGTATCGCATCTCTGCATGAACCCGAAGGACAGTGGTGCTCCGTAGAGTGATTTCAGCCACGCAGCGCCCAGCACATGGAAACAGCAGGGCGTCTTGGCGCTGCTCCTTATATTCACAAAATGAGGTGGTTGCCTTTTTTTCGTTCTGGCAACCGTGCCAAAAGGGTGGCCCCGCCAAACGCAACAGCTCGTTCACCGGCGGGAAAATAGACCTGAGAGGGATCAGCCGTGCAGGTTGCCCGAAGCGTCATTGTTTGTTGGCGTCATCCAGGCCGCTGTCAATAACGCAATACGGCAATCTTCAATCATTCATGGGCCTTTTCTCCCTGGGATTACACAGACATACACACAATCACAGACACGGGAGAGCACCTTGCTCACACTTGAGACGCATTGAGTCTGAAAATATTCTAAAACCACCCTTTCTTAAGTATAATAATTACACACAAAGCAGCAATCGAAGCGTTTCTCACGCTCCCAATTATAACACGAGAATAATCTTCTCCTAAACTGCTTTCTAGAAAATAAACACCCAATCGATGCGCTCTCCATGGCATACTTGTGTGCCAGCGTTAGTAATCTGCTGTAACTTGCCAGGCCTCTTACTCCTAAAATGAAGCCTTTTGCTTCACACTGTCTTTTAGTCTCCAAAATTTCGTGCTGCCAAAGCTAGTCATCAGTTTCCTTTGAGCTGACAAAGAGATAACTGTCATGCTGCACAAGTACAGGACCTTCTCATTACATGTCCGAAATCACACGCTATAGTGCTCCTGCGTGGATTAACTACTAATTCTGCCTGGCGGTTACCGTCTTCGTAAAAGCTACACAATAATTTTCGAACGAACTAACTCAATTCCTTTCAGCCACACCATACACATGCAAACAAAACAAAAAATAACAAAAAACTGTCGCATCAATCTTAAAAATACTCGCAAAGAGTATCCTTGCGGCTCCATGCTCACTCAAAATCTGTCTCTAACGTCGCTCCTACTCGACAAATGCTCCTAGGTGTGTCGTTTTGCAACCGCACGGTTGCTTTATTAGGTTAGCTTCATTAGCTTTATTAGGCTATGCTTTATTAGCTTACTTTATTTCTTAAGCAAAGCTTAAGAAATAAACAAAACCTGATACTTGTTACCTAATTGCTATCTAGTAGCCGAGATACTTGAACTGTTACAAAACCAAAACTAACAAAACAGTAAAACAAAACTTCAAAACAAAACAAACAAGTCCGCTAGGTACCTTTTTCAAATGCTCACGGTTTTTACTTAATTTAGAAATGAACGCGTGGCGCTCGAGCTCTGTGGGGCGTTCTTGGCGAACGGGGGAAAGAACAATTGCAAAACCTATTAGCTTCGCCTCAGATCCCCGCTGAGCTCCTTGCTGGCAACCTGCATTGTTTCTCTCGCTCAACTATTTCTTGCGAGCCAGCAACCATGCACTCACCTGTCCCATCAAATGTGCCGAGGATAGAACTACGGAAGGTTGACTGCCCGCTTCCTTCTACCTGCATTTTGGCCCAACGCACCCTTCTTTTTCTCTTCATCTGGCAGCTTGGACGCATGCAAGGACACATGCATAGCAACTCCGGCGCCGACGACAAACGCCTCATTCGGATGACTATGGTTGAACGCCTACTGTCTTTCTTCAAGCACGTGCTCGTTGTCACTTTCCTGCCTTTACGACGCTTCTTATAGTGGTCATATATTCTGCGATATAAAATATTTATGCATGTTTATTCAGCGAAGCGTCTTCCCGCATGTCTTTTAAAATTAATACCTTTACTTATATACCACCCTACATTTACCTTCTCAACTTTATCGACCGTTTTTTTTTTTCTGAACTATCGACATGACAAACAAATGGCATTACTTTTTCCTGTGTAGCACGACGACAAACCGAAGGAGATTCGTTGCACCAAATGTCATTTAAACCTAATGACATTAATTCCTGCAGTGTGACGGGGTATAACTCTTGGCAGACACAATCGTGAGTGCGCATAAGGCTTATCAGTTCACGATAGCCGGACCTGGTGAGGGGCGCTTTAAAGAGTGGAGCATTGATAGTGATAGCAAAGGGTAGCGTTGCGCTTTTCAGACAGTGCGTTAATTATTCACGGGGGCAGCATACATGCATATGACACAACTTCATGCACATTTAAAGCTTTTGCATGATTTTTAAGACTTGTAATGGGACTATGCTGGTGCAATGGCTGTGCCCAAAACTTCTGCCAGTGTTTGTGTAATTATACTACATTTAGATTGTGTATAACAGTATTGTCTGGTAGTTTTTAATTCTAATGTAAGACTTCAAATAAGAAGTAGTTGTTGTAAATTATGTGTTTCATAACCTTTATGCACGGTTTTATGGTAAAGTATTCTATACCATCAAAAATCTAGCATCAGAAGGACCTTAACATAACTTGCTATGTTGTATGAAAATAGCAAATGTGGCAAAAAAGGTTTCTTTCATACAAGTGAAGAGAGTGTAAGAAAGAAACAAACTACAATGAGAAAGAAAGGTGGACAACAATAGAGTATGATGACACATATGCTGCAAGCATTCACTGAAAGCATTTGAATTGATGACACTTCTCGTTTTAGTAAGCATTGTCGATGGTACATTTAGGAGTGAATCTTTTGTTATGTGTGTGTGTGTGTGTGTGTGTGTGTGTGTGCGCACGTACGTGCATGCGTGCGTGCATGCGCTCGCGAGCCCATATTATGATTACAATGTGATGCTAAAATTCATCAATATTTTGCTTCTCTGTTCAAGCAAGGTCATCACTTTTGCATATATTTAAAATTTCGGTCTCTGATTGTCATTATCATTGTTAAGCTCTGTGTTCTCATGCTTGTTAGCAAAGCCAGTTTTAAACTTTTGTACTCTCTCCAAGAGATTGAAAGAAGAATTTTTTAAACAGAGTAAATTATTATACAGATTGAATGCAACACTCATATATGTTTTGTAGTAAGTCATCATTGGGACACTGCATGGCTTATTTGGTGTTGTTCTCAGGTAGCAGTCTGCCTATTGGTGTTGGCACTGTAAAATCTCTAATTTGTGCATACTTGGTCATGCTTGGTTAAAACGCAGCAAAATTGTACTAAAATGAGAGGCACAGAGGCAGTGATCGTGACGACGTTTTTTTCCGTCCCAGCTAAGATGCGTTATAATCTAGTAAGGTAAGTGTCAGTAACAACAGGAAAAAACGGCAGTAAGGGTGGGCTATACTACCAGTTTGCTTTAAATTTTGCGTTGTAGAAAAGCTGCCTAGTAAGTATTAATGCTAGTGTGTTAAAAATGTGACTAGTTAAAGTAGCAAGATGATACATGCCTAAAGCATTGCAACATACACATGATTTGTGCTGATTACTGCCTCTTATCCAAATCCAGAATGGAAAGGATGTTGGCAGAGTAGAAGGCGTGAACATGATGGAACTGGTGGGTAAGCTGAAGGCACTGAGAATTCGTGTGGAAATGCCGCCAATTACTGCTAGTGAGGACGACCGGGTGAGTGGAATTTTGCATTTCTTAAAAGCACGCATGTAAGAGTGGCCATGGGCCAGAGGCTATTTGCCCTACTATTCTCAGTTTAACAGTGTCACTGGGGGCTGGGTGGCCAATATGATGGCATTAAAGACATCGCTTATAGCAAGGTTGACCTGAAAATTTAACCTTACATTACTGTCCGTGAGCGGATCTCCAACTGCCATTATGGCATGCCTATTGTGATGTATTGAAGTCTAGAGCTACTATTGTGTTGTCTGTTCCAAAACTGTGTGCACTGATTTGGTACATGCTCACTGCTATGTGGGTGCTTAGAAAGAAAGCACTGTGCATGATTTCTTCCCCTGCAATTGAGCAACATTAACAGCTGTCAGGTTCATTAGACAATGCATTGCATCAATGATTTTTTCACTTATTCATTCACATGATGAAAACAGCACAAACAAGAAAAAGCCTTTGAAAGTTTACCTAGGCAGACTGCCGACATGTACTAATATTTGAAAATATGAATGCAAATATGAATGTGAATTATCTGATTTTCCAAATTTATGGGAGTTGAATTCATGAGGTTTCAGCATACTATAAAATTCAATAACATATCTTTTACTGCACTCAGTGTTCTAATTTTTTTCATGCTTGTTGCAGAGTACATACTACTTTGCATTGAATGCATTGTTAAAAACTTAAAATAGTTACAAAGCTAGAGCAGGTTATTTTAGAACTGCTTTGGTAATGACAAACTTCTAGGTGTATAACTAAATGTAAATCTTGCACGAGAAGCCAGTCATTCTTCCCCGTCCAGTGGGAAACTAAAAATAACCAGATTAGAAATTGCAAAACTAAAAAAGCTATGAAAAATTGAATAAGTTCTTTATTATTCACGAGTTTTATGTATAACATACTTCAAAGTATGTTTACATATGAAATGTACGCAAGTCATGAATTCTATTAAAGAGTGTACTTTGTAATTTTATTCACTTAGTTAAATTAGTAAAATACGTGGTCTATACTAACTTGACTAGTGACATTGAGGAAGTAATGTCAGCCTTGTAAGTAGTTAAGCTTGAGAGATAAATGTCATTCTGAAAGTAGAAATGAAAGAATCCATTGAGTTAGTTTTTACTTATTTGTCCCTAAGTTGTACATGACTTTATGTTGTACTTGTAATTGAGCCTTTACACTTGGACTTGAGCTCGGTATTTTTTTTCTGAGGAATTTTCTCTTCAACCCTCTAGAAGCTAATGCAGAGGCTGCAGGCCATTACAGCCCAAGCTCCTTATGTGCTTTTCATGGAAGGAAGCAAAAGTTCACCTGCTAAAGGTATGGTGTGGTGGCAGAAGTGTCCATCTTCTTAGCACCTCTTTTGGAATCTTCTTGTTTTTTTTTTTTTTTTTTTTTGCAGGTGACAGCTCAGAGGCAGTGACTTTGCTACAAGAAGCTGGCCTTGAGTTTCAGCATTTTGACGTGGCCACAGATTCGGTACTTCGACAGCGTAAGGCACTTCTGTATCCTAGCTTTTTTCGTAACAGGGGGAAGGTAGGGGGAAGCTTTTTTTTTGCATTGGCTCTCATCCTTCAGATGCTGTACTAAATACTGGGGTGTCAAAAGTCACAAAAGCGAACATTTGAATAGCGCACACATCATGCAGTTTGATTGATGATTGATTGATATGCGTGGTTCAACGTCCCAAAACCACCATATGATTATGAGAGACGCCGTAGTGGAGGGCTCCAGAAATTTCGATCACCTGGGGTTTTTTAAAGTGCACCGAAATCTGCACATCATGCAGTTTAACGCCTAGAAGTGTACACCTAATATGGTGAATAAATTTTACATATAGGGCTTAGTCCTGTGATCCGCTGTGCTGGCTACTGAGACAAATGAAATGTCATTTGCCTATGGCTGGTTTCAGTGAAAATCAGCCATTAATGCCTAGTCGACATTCCTTATAAGTTATTGAAATTTATGAGGCAGCTTTTATGGTGGCAAAAACAAACTTGGGCTTAGACATTTCTCCTACATTGGGGCACCATCTGCAAGCTGTGCATTCTTGAGAACTGGCCTGATTGTACTAGACAAATAGTTTTCTAGTTTTCATACTGGACTGGATGGCAAAAACTTTGTACTGCAGGACGTGCTTAGTGAGTAACAAGCATCTTCCATGTAGAGACTGACAGGGTGGTCTTTTCGTGCTGCAGATGGAGTATAAGTATTTTTCACGAATGATTGCAACTTTGAAGTTGAATTCCCAAGGCAGAGTCGGAGCAGCTGATGTACTCAGCGCTCGACTCTGGTGCATAGCAACGCCTCTGAATCCGCAATCGGAACACTATTCGCGCTGCCGGAGTTAGCATGGGGAGCAAGGTGGAAGCAGAAGTCTTTAAGTTGCCCAGAATACCTTGTGTGTAGTTATTCGGTTCCACCAATTCTATTTTCGAATTCTGTTGAATTATCGCTCGTACGGTAGTTTCAGTATCGCTGTCACTATTTGATGAACCGTTTATGCAGAAACTGTAGCTTTCTGACATGGAGCTATCGAACAGAAAAAGCAATTCTGCATGATTTGTCCAGTCAGCCATGTCGTCCACCATTACAGTCAAAACACGTGACTACGGCGGCACCCCCCAATTAGGTAAATGTGTTAAAGGGAGTACGTTATTTCGAGTTCCAGTTCACTCCGCCAATTTCGTTAGAGCAACTTCGTGCTCCTCGAAGGCACTCCTTCTTTGAGTCGAGCCTGACTCTCATTGGAACACTTGACTCCTGCCCTCACTCTGCTATTAAAACACACTTGCTTCAAAAGGAGCAGAAAAACTTGCTCCGTTCCGCCATTGGAATTCAACATACGTTCGCACACACACACACACGCACGTGCACGCACACTCACGTGCGCGCGCTAAATTTAAGATGGTGGCAGAAGAGCCTCTAAGAAAAATGCACACCTGTGCTTCTAATGAAATGCTTTATCGGGCGTGCATGCATTTACTGTTTTGAGTGAACCGTAGTATATCCTCTTGTGGGATGAAAAGGGGGGAAAGAAGTCCTTCTAATGTTCCAACAATATGTGACAACTCAAAATGCATCCTCAAGGCACCACACTGTAGAAGTGCTAAGAAGTCATGCTCATATCTAAGGACTCTCCGAGCTTGTGTTCCTAGGAATCACTGCTGCAGGTTTCTGTAGCACAGAACAGCTTGAAGAAATGGTGGGAAGAGGGGAGAGACGTGCTCAGGATTTCACTGTGTGTGTGTGTGTATGTGTGTGTGTGTGTGCACGCGTGTGTTCATTCATTTAAGAGGGGAGATTCAGACATAAGACAAAAATAATGTAGCACAAGCTGTGGATCACATTTCCATCCTTTCATATGAAATATTTAAAGCAGAAGGCTGACACTTTCTACACACAATAGGTATGTTATATTAGTTAGAGGGGGCATAGTCTGCATGCATGTTGTTGCAGCATTCATCATAAAGAAGCAGCATGGCATCAAAAGAAAACATGTTTTGTTTTTTTCTCAGTTGAAGTATAGCTTGCCTTGGTGTTCTAAATTGTAGTTGGGATCAAAATATAAGAAATTCAAGGAACTTAGTCAGCTCTTGCAGCAATGCCTGTATGTCACAAAAATAATATATTCAGAAAATTAATTTTTTCTATGATTTTACAGCTCCAAGATTCGTCTCCCTCTTAATTTATGCCAAAGTTTATCTTTTTAGTTGTTTTCTTTCATGCACAAAATATATGCACAATGTACCACATTTGTTACTACATGAAAGCTTTAAAAATTTGGCCTAAAAAAACCTACTTGTTATTTCTTTCATAATGCTACCAGTGAAATTACAGTATACAGCCTCTCATGTCGTAAAACAATATTTTGGTTAATTTTGTAAGTGTATGCTGCTCATAGAATGATCAAGACATAAAAAAATTTATGTATGACAGCTGGTACATTCAATTGCTAAACGTAACCATGTCATGTTGCTATGAATCTGGTCACTTAGCTGTGATGTAGGCTTTGATGTACGAGCTCAAGTAAATATTCCACGATGTGACTTAAACCAAGGGCACTGTGAATCAAAGTATGATGTGGATTATTTAACTCTTAATTGATGTGCATGAGTGTCATTTTCAACCTTAATTTATAGATTTCGGTGGTTATGCAATGTTTTTTTTTTCTCATTCGCTTCCACATGTTTCTTTCGTTTCAGAGCTCCTTGAGCATTTGGCAAAGAAGGGAGCTTCCAATTACCCACTATTGTTTCTCAATGGAGATTTCATTGGTGGCATTGATAAAATAAAAAAGCTGGATGAACAAGGACAACTGGCTCGCTTGGGTGAACCTAAATGTGTAGACCTGACACAGAGGTATTCGCTTGCTGATGGCATCAAATTCAATTCTTAATAATTAAGCCTCCCTGCCATTCCTTACAGTGTTTGCAAAGTTGGGCTCTTTCTGTGATTAACTGTAGTATCAAGCATGAGCTACTGCATCTATTAGCACTTATTCTCAGAATTCAACCACTTCGCGTGCCTGACTAGCTCCTGAGCACCAGATGACCTAAGGATCACAGTGGTTTGAAGGAATACCGTGCTTTGAAATTGTTTTGCATTTCTGTTTGATTGCACTGCAACAAATTGCTTCCACTCTGTGTTGAGTACATAGTTGGATCAAGCCCTTGAGAACAATGCCTCCCTGCTATGCTGGGGAAGTGCAGGTTCAGAGAGGGTGGTTGTAGTGAGGGTATAAACTTACTGGACCTGCTGTCACTGACAAGTTCATCCAACTACCACAAGTAGAACCTGTTAGAAGATATGCCAATTTGTATGCTTAAGATGTCAGTTTTTACTTTTATACTGTCAACCCTCATGGAGGGTTATAACAGAGGACAATACAATGACATATTAGTCGAGCCCGCTTATAATGAACCTGAGCATGACGCGGCATTTGTTCGCTGCATCCAGAAGTTCATAGTAAATGAAACACAGCTTTTAAAAAAGTTGTGAGTGAAAACACAAACCTTTTTTTGCCCAAAAAAGTCCGTGATGCACGTGTTTAGAAGGGCAGAAGCGATAAGGGCGGTCTCGAGTCTATTTCGAACGGCAGCGTGCTCATTCGCCGAGGCCCGTGGCATAAGCTGCATGAGGCACTGGCTCCAAAGTTTCGTTGTTCTCTCCATCCAATTCCTGCAAATCGCTCTTGCCGCGTACTTCATTCACAATGCCTTAATCCGTGAACGGTTTCGCGGTGTCGGCATCGTCATCGGCCATAATTAAACCATTGCAACAGATGTCCCACTTGCTCTCTTATGTCGGAGTCGATGGCGCTCTGCCACAAATCGCCGCCACAGTGGTCCAGTTAAGAAGCGTTAGGCTCGGCATCGGGCCCGATGCTGACGAAGTCGGCCTCACGAAAACAGTCTCACGCGCATGTAGTCGTCACTGCCGCCCACGAAATACTGACCATCTCCACAGCTGAATACTGGGACGCCCAAAGCGGCAAGTTGGCTGCCAGGTGGTCAACAGCTATGAGCAAGCGCTCTGCAACCCGCCACCTAATGCGCGGATTACGCCCAAGCCAAGTAGTCACACTTTTTCCGTTTTGTTGCGCAGCAGGAAAAAGCGTGCAAGTCCTCCCGTCTGCCATCCTGACCACACACACACACCAAGAGCGAGCAAAGCGCGCACAAGCGACACACATGCCAGAATGCGTGGAACAGCTCTCGGCCCGTTTCTAGTCTGAAAACGAAACTTTTGAATTGGAGCCAGCGTGCCTAGCATTGCGCAGTGGTGGAGACGGGTGAAGGAGTGGTGGTCAAGAGAGGAGAGCCGATTTGCGAGAGAAGGGAAAGGAGTTGCGATAGAGGAAAGAGAGGGGAGGATACGGCGGGAGGGCAACCTTGAAAACCAAAACACGCGGGAAGAAGGCAGGTCAGGTAGCTTGCTTGAAAGGTCCGCGAAACGCGCCACTCGCATGTACTAAAACTTGAAAGAATGCCTACACGCGCAGAGGTCAAAGCACAGCCGCCTGGATCGACGTGCGCAGCGGGTTCGGTGGCCGCGGTCAAAAAGTGGTTTGTTGCACCGGCAGGTTTGCGTGGCCTCACGACTTCGATATTTCGGGATTCATTTGGCGCAAATTAACAGCCGTTCTCGTGCTTCCGCACTTGTGCGGAGGGCATGCTGAGCAGAGTGCAAAGTGAGCGAGAACAGGTCCTAAACACAAAACGAATCGCGAATTATCAGAATTGGTGGGGTAGCATACATGCATGCACTAGACGCAGACGATCAGATACAGTCGATGGCTGACGATGTTGGCAAATGGTGTGGTCACTCCATGCCGGCGACGCCAACGACAGTACCAGCGATCAAAAACAGGGGAGATGGCGGACCGGTCCTTGAAAGATCGGTGGCAGTGTGAAAACACTGGCCTCGTATGGCAATGCAAGGTGCTCAGAAAAGGGGGGGGTGGGGGACACAAAGGACGAAGGGGTAAAATGATATGGATTTAGTGAAATTCAGTTTGAGCGTGAAGGAAAGGTACTATACAGTCAAGAAGGGGAAAAAGCAGATGACTGTGTAAGCGCTCACACTGTCGTCTGTTTTTGTTGTCTGTTTCGTGTAATTGTTACCCCGAGGTACTTTAACTGGTGCGCATATACCAAGTGTCCACCAATGCTATGCGAATAGGAATGAATAGTTTTCCTTTTGATGATGTGTATATAGGAAGGCTTAGAATAATTCATCACCATTCTCCATTTCCTACACCAATAATCTAAATTTTGCAAAATATAAATTTTGAGTTAGTCTCTAGCTTGGTAATTGTGGTGCAAATTAAGCAGTCATCTGCAAAAAGTTTCAGCTGAACACCCTCTTCTGCTGTGCTACTGATATCATTGATATAGTGGAGAAACAATAGTGGTCCCAGTACTGAGCTTTGGGGCACTCCTGAAAGCACAGCTAAAGGATCTGATAAATGACCATCCAGTTTTCCTAACTGTGTATGGTTTGTTAAATATGCTTCAATCTATTTTATTACTGGCTCATTTAAAGCATCACATAATTTGAAGACTAAATGGCTACGGGAACTTATTGAATGCTTTTGTGAAATCCATGCGAACCACAACAACCTGTTGTCTTATATCTACAGAAGTGCGAAAATCATGAATTGTTTCTATTAACTGCATAACGGTTGATAGCCCGGTCGGGAAATCATGTTGGCAAGGGTACAGCAAAGTGTTCTGATCTAGAAAGCTCAGTATATGTTCTGTTAGTATATGCTTGAATGCTTTGCAAGTGACTGAAGTAAGCAGGGTGTGTACAAATACTTAAAATCTGTGGAAACCCTTGAATTAGAAAAATCCGTTTTCGAGGCCCTTGAAAGTTTTTCTGTTCCTTGAAAATCCTTGAATTTCCTGAGTAGTGCACTCTCATATCAACATTGTGGCCTCCTAACATGGGAGGATCGGCAGGTGAACCTGTCAAACTCGCCATTTGAAGAGCAGCAATGTGGTAGGGGTACGCGTGGTTTTGTTTTGCAGAACTGCACGTGTAAAAAAAACCAGCAAGTTTTGTGGCGAGGGCGAAGCAGAGCAAGTTATAGCAACAGTGTTACACAAATAACAGCAAGCAACTCGCTACGCACAGTGCTTCACTTAAGCACGAAGTACGTACGGAAATAACACGTACAGGATGAATGCTAAAGAACAACTGTCACCGCTCGACATATGCGCGAAAATGGCTTTTTTTTGTATGTCTTGAGAATATTGTTTTTGTCAGTATGAAAAGTACTCTAGGACGCATTGCAGCAAACCAAATTTTACAGGGTGTAATTCTCTTTCAAAAAAATATATTTTGCAGAACACCGAAAATATTTTAGAATAAAGAAAATTGTGAAAAGTATATAATTTTTGGTGGCCAGCTGGTGAAAAGTGCAATAGAAAATAGTACAAATGCAAAAATATTCAAAATATAGAAAATTCAGAATATACATTTTGAAGGTAAATGGCCCAGGACCACTATAAACAATAATAAATTTTGTAGGAAATGTTTCTATTCACATAAACAAAGAAAATTGGAACCGAGGTGCTGCTTCGTAGCTCGTGCTGTGCTGTGAAGCATTGCTTGGTTTTTCTTGAGGCACAAGCAAACTCGTACACATTAAAAAAAAATTTTTTTTCGCTATAAAAGCTTCCAGGTGTTGAAATATAGATGTATATCTGTGATGAAAATAATGCCTCTATAAACCAGATGTTCAATGACCTTCGTTATTTTGTCTAGCATAACCTCTTTCCATGAGCCACTTCACTCAGCATAGGTTGGCGTTCCTATATATGCATGCGAGCATATTTCTTAGAAGGTTGCACATCGTATTAAAAAAAGGATACAGTGTGAAGTTCCAAAACGTTTCACGCTGCTCTATAGTCAGGGCCAAGATGTGCTCCAGTGGCCTCCTTGTCGTGAGGAGAAGCTCTGCAGCCAGCGCCACACACCGAGCCCCAGCGTAGTGTCGCACGTAATTGGAGTGGCTATAAGATTGTCATAAAGGTCAGTAGCTACACACTTGCGATAGAGAACACAACTTGATCTGTAAACAAAACAAACCCATGAACGGCTGCTGATGTCTCAGGCTGGCGCAAAACATCGTCGCCACAAAACTTGAAGCTGGGGTTCTGTCATCCTCGGACTGTAAGCTCGTCCTCACTCAGTTCAGGTGGGGTTTCAAGGCAGTTTCGAGTGGTGCGTGTATTTTGTAGTGCTGGTGCGTACCCATCCGCACATGACGGTGACTAGTGACACTAAATGATCGAGAGGATTGACTAGTGGCACTAGATGCGACCCTGTGTCTGACATAACGATACAAGTGAAACTGAAACTGCTAGAAACTGGCTGAGAAGGCTACCTCAATACTTTAAACATGTGACGGACCTTCGAAAACATTTTTTAGAATTAATTTTGCCATACTCCCAGCAACAGCTTTTTATTGAATAGCTGGCATAAATTACCGGCAATTATTACTACTCAACACTGTCAAATTGCAAAGCTGACTATTTGATTCGATATTTTGCTTGCAAAGGCTCTTTTGATTATGAACCTTCAATGCTACTCTTGCATAATCACGAGGGGCATGCACATTTGTCAAGTTCGCCAGCCCAGTGCATTTTCCAACAACATACACACCTTGGTTTGTGCAAATATCTTTAAAAAACCACTATGTTGCCCAAAACGGGCAAATTCAAATTGATTCTGAAAGTTGACTGGCTTGACTAACTACTAGAAAGTGCTGGGTCCACGAGAAAGAAATTTAACATGCCAAAATAGACAAACCGAATCATTGATCACGGGTGATCGTTTTGAATAAGCACGGT